GACACAACATGACCCAAATACTCAATAGATGCTGCACCAAAGGAGCACTTTGAGGCCTTCACAAAAAAATTGTGCATCTGTAAGCATTCAAGAGCAATTCCCAAATGCAGAATGTGTTCTTCTACTGATTGACTGAAGACCAATATGTCATCAAAGAAGACAATAATAAATCTGCGCAAGTATGGCCTAAACAAGTGGTTCATCACAGCTTGAAAGGTTGTTGGAGCGTTTGTTAAACCAAATGGCATCACTAAGAACTCATAGTGGCCCTCATGGGTCCTAAATGCTGTTTTATGAATGTCTTGAGGCAAGACTCGAATCTGATGATATCCAGCACGTAAGTCAAGCTTGCTAAAGACTGCAGCACCCCCCAATTCATCCAATAATCCATCAATAGTAGGTATTGGTAACCTATCTTTGATGGTAATGGCGTTCAAGGCCCTATAATCGATGCACATGCGCCAAGTATTATCCTGCTTCCTTACCAATAAAACCGGAGAAGAAAAAGAACTTTGGGAATGCTGTATAAAACCAGCTGACAGTAAATCAGATACCTGCCTCTCAATCTCGGACTTCTGGTGGTAAGCATAGCGGTAAGGTCTCACATTTACAGATTTTGATCCCTCCTCCAAGTGAATAGCATGATCTAAGCCCCTAAAAGGAGGTAGCTCACTAGGAATCTGAAAAATAGCTTGATACTCCACTAGAATCGGCCAAAGCTCTACAGGTATCTTGTCCTTAATGGAAAACAATTCTGAATTTGTGGGTGACTGATTCAACACTATGTGTCCTGCTAAGACATTGCAATGGGATAATTCAACATCCCAATCAGTATGAGTGCTTTCGAATCTTCCCTGTTGCTTGACACCTTTCAAAACAACTTGCTCACCATGCCATTGAAACTCCATGGAAGGTACCACATAATCATGTGTGACCTTACCAAGCTGTTGTAACCAAGGCATTCCCAAAATGATGCTAAGGTCAACTAACTCAAGCACCCAAAAGTCAATTAAAAAGACATGACCCTGTAAGGTAATGGTAACACTAAGACACCTTCTGTCAGTCATCAAAAACTCCCCATTTCCCATCAAAATACGCAATTTCTTTGCACGAGTGATTGGTAACCGCAAAACACCAGCCAACTCCTTTTGAATGAAGTTATGGGTACTCCCTGAATCAACCAACACAGCCACCTCACAATTGCCAATAACAGAGGAAAACCGTAAGGAACGTGTACCTGAGTGCTCAGTAAGTACATGCAGAGCACCATCTTGAGGTACCTTCAGCAAATCTTCGGACTGCCATACAATTTCTTCTTCCCTATCAACTTCCTCAGTCGAGTTGGGAAAATCGCCCACCATCAAGAGTAATTTATTCTGGCATCTGTGCTTAGAATGCCACTTCCCATCACAATAATAGCAAATGCCCAGTTCCCTTTTCTTGTTAAAATCAACATGGGAAAACTTCTTCATCAATGGTGGCGCTGGTAAAGCCAATTTGGGATTGGAAGGACCCAATTGAGGAACAGTAGAAACTGGAGCAGTAGTCACAGAAGAGATGGGAACCGCAGAAGTGGAAGGAGAAAACTTATTAAAGAATTTCTTACCACTAGTAGAAAAAGAATTGTGAAGCTCCGTATGATGATCATCATAAGCTAATGCATATTGCATAGCCTGATGCAAGCTCACAGGAGAACGAAGTTGAACCGCACTTTGGAGTTCTTATTGCAACCCAGAGATGAAAAAACTCATGTACAAATCATCATCAAGACCAGGTACCTGGTTAATCAACACCTCAAATTGCTGAATGTAATCACGCAATGCAGCCGTCTGTGTTAATTTGGACAGAACACCTTTGAGATTCGTATAAGTAGAAGCTCCAAAACGCTCGCGCAAGGCTCGTGTCAAACATCCCCAAGAACGAATCAATCCGCTACTGTACATCCACTGGTACCAAGCGGCAGCAGAACCCTCCATACGCATCCCAGCAATGGGAACCTTAAACTCTTCGGACACTTGCTGGAGAACAAAAAATAATTCGGTACGGAAGATCCAATTGTTAGGATCCACACCAAAAAAAATAGGGATTTCTAACCGAATCGCTTTGGTGAGGTTCCTGGAATCAAGGTCTGTTCGAATATGATGGGGAGGTTGGGGATCACGACGAACACGATCTTCACATCCCATCAGCGCCTCATGCAACTGTTGAAGTTGTGTGGTCAAAGATGCAAACTGGGCTTGACTTTCCACGCGATTCTCAACAAAGCGTTGATCCACCCGATTCTGGAAAGCGAGATTCTCCTCTTTATCACGATCAAACCGCAGTTGCAACGTAGAGAACTCGTCCGCCAATTCCTGAAGACGCATCGTGAATTCAAGAATGAAAGCACCAATTTGTTAGGGAAAAACCTAACTGAAGAGGAAAGTGAAAGAATGAACAGAATTTCTATTATTTGCGTAAAAAGAATGCTTACAATCACTGTACCTTTTATACTTGGATATACCTAACTGAATGGTAACTGACTCTAACTCAGGTTTACTCACTCTATACACTTAACTATCTTTAACTCAAGCTACAAGGTAAAGTAACTCAATCTACAAAGTCTTAGAGTCTCACAGAGTGTTGTCTCACTCTATTACTAGTCCTACGTGTAACACTGAATACATAAATGTACATGCATGGAATATGAACACTATACAACAATACATCTTTTCCAAAAATACTTCTAAAATAAATAGTAGCCTCCAGCCACCCAGAACTCCACATCCTCATACTAGTACCTCTAGCCGCGGTTTGTGTCCTTGTCCCATGAGGCTCTTCAATTAACTGTATTCCTGAAATCATATCCCCAAACGGGGTTAGAGACGAATCTCTAGTAAACTCCAGGTTTATGGAAAACTCTCCATACCCTGGGCTCACTTCCTGCATGACAGTCAGATACATAATATACAAAACATCATATAAGCAATTATCATAACTGTACAAATCATATATACATATCTTATCAAAGACATACGCAGTCATCCCCAAGGGATGACCCCAAGCAGAAATCAACGTACGTAACAAACATCATTTACAAAAATCATCACAATACTCACATCAGAATAAAACGTGTTATATCAGAGATGTACGCAATCGTTCCCAAGGGATGACCCCAAGCAGAAATCAACATACGTAACAAATATCATTTACAAAATCATCATACATATCACATAAAACATGTTATATAATCAATTATCATAACTAAACAAAACATATACACATATCTTATCAGAGACGTACGCAGTTATTCCCAAGGGAGGACCCCAAGCGGAAATTGACGCACGTGTTCCCAAGGGAGGACCCCAAGCGGAACCAGAACATACCAGAGGCGTACGCAGTCATTCCCAAGGAAGGACCCCAAGCAGAAATCAACGCACGTGTTCCCAAGGGAGGACCCCAAGTGGAACCAGAACATATCAGAGGCGTACGCAGTCATTCCCAAGGGAGGGCCCCAAGCATAAATCAACGCACGTGTTCCCAAGGGAGGACCCCAAGCGGAACCAGAACATATCAGAGACGTACGCAGTCATTCTCAAGGGAGGGCCCCAAGCGGAAATCAACGCACGTGTTCCCAAGGGAGTACCCCAAGCGAAAACAAAAACATATCAGATATGTATATATGCTTTGTATAGTTATGATAATTGCTTATATGATGTTTTGTATATTATGTATCTGACTGTCATGCAGGAAGTGAGCCCAGGGTATGAAGAGTTTTCCATAAACCTGGAGTTTACTAGAGATTCGTCTCTAACCCCGTTTGGGGATATGATTTCAGGAATACAGTTAATTGAAGAGCCTCATGGGACAAGGACACAAACTGTGGCTAGAGGTACTAGTATGAGGATGTGGAGTTCTGGGTGGCTGGAGGCTACTATTTATTTTAGACGTATTTTTGGAAAAGATGTATTGTTGTATAGTGTTCATATTCGATGCATGTACATTTATGTATTCAGGCATGTTGATATGACTATGTAGTATTCAGTTATGTTATGTATTAGATTGCATGCTATTAGATTAGTGGCACAGAGCCAAGTTCTGCATGCGCCCATAAATGGGTATCTGAGTATATTTGCATGACTGGTACTTCTGGATATATATATAGTTTAAACTGTCTATCAGGAACTCTTGAGAGTGGATTGGAAAATCCCCAGTTGTCCGACTTACAGAGGTTACTCAGTCCGATTTTCATTTACGCCTAATGAGAAAAAGAAAAAGTTAGCTCGTATTTTTATAAGTTTAAGTCTTCCGCTGTTTCTGTTAAGTATCATATGTATGTTAATTGAACCGGCTCGAGGCTGAGGATGTTACATTTATGGTATTAGAGCAGGGCCTCTCATCCAGTACGGTGTGGTTCGAGGACGAACCAGGCGGAAGCTGGTGGGCATGTAACATCTCGAGCGCGGACGAGGGCGGGGAGTGATCGTCGGTGCAAAGAGGCACGAACAAGGAGCGGCTCCTGACAGGCTTCCAGCGGGGGGTTACATGCATGAATGAATCTAATCGACACCCGAAAGAGTGGGATTCCAAAGGTTGTGCAGGTATAAGACTGCACAGTTTGGGATAGCTTATAAGAATTAATTAGTACTACCTATGCTAACAAGATGCATCTGCTTTTCGGTAGCCCGGATCGGAAGAACTCCACAGTTAAGCGTGCTTGACTTGGAGCAATTCTGGGATGGGTGACCTCCTGGGAAGTTTTCCCGGGAAGTGTGCGAGTGAGGAAAAAGCATACTGAAAAGTCTCGTGTTAGTATGTGGGGATAATCATTGATTCTTGAAGCAGTCGAGCGTTACATTTATGGTATCAGAGCAGTTGCTCTAGGGAGTTACATGATATATAGCATAATATATTTGAAGTTGGAAGTTCTTGAGTGTTTTCTTGGAGTGTTGTATAATGCATATGTGATCACTGAGTGTGAGCATAGCTAACTCATTCATTAGTGTAATATATGCAAAGATATGGTTACTCCAAGGAGGACTCGTAGGACATTTAATAATGATGATCCATCACCGGATCCTGTTGTAGCAATTTTGGCTGCACTACTGAAGACTTGGGTTGCAACCAGACAGTAAGAGTTTGAATTAATAATGAAGCATTCAATTTGACTGTGATAAGGATGAGATTCTCTATGTGTATTATTACGGCTATTGGGAATGTTAGTGAGAAATCATTCATATGGAAGGATGTGAAGTTTAACTATGATGATAGGGAGTATTTTGCTGACTTTATTGTCTTGCATTTTGCCTCTGTGAATGTGATTTTGGGAATGTATTGGTTGTCTAAGTACTGTGTAAGAATTGATTGTTGCAGCAAGACCAATTCTATTTCCTCTAACGATGAAGGGAGAGAGTCTCTGGATATATCTGTCCTTCGGGTTGCAAATGCCTTGAAGGAAGGAGATTCAGAGTTTATTCTGTTGGGAGGTGCGGTTGGTGTCAATAAGGAGCCAATTTCTGATATCCATATTGTTTTTGATTTTATGGATGTCCTTCTAGATGAAATTTCAAATTTTCCGCCAGAGAAGGAAATTGAATTTTCAATTGAATAGTTGACTAAAGTGAGGCCTATGTCTCTAGCTCCATACCGAATGTCACATTTGGAATTATTTGAATTAAAGAAACAGAGTGAAAACTTGTCCAGTAAGAATTTTATTAGACCGAGTGTGTCTCCGTGGAGAGTCCCGGTGATCTTTATTAAGAAGGACGAGTCTATGAGATTGTGTACAGATTACCGGCAGTTGAACAAGGTTACTGTCAAGAATAAGTATCCTTTGCCGCGTATAGATGATTTGTTGTACCAGTTGCGAGGTGCGACTGTATTTTCTAAAATTGATCTCCGGTCCGGGTATCATCAGATTCGGATAAAGACGGATGATGTTCCAAAGACAGATTTCAGGTTCCGATATGGATACTATAAGTATCTGGTTATTCTTTTTGGGCTTATAAATGCAAAGGCCATTTTCATAAGTTATATGAATAAGATCTTTAAAGCCTATCTGAACCAGTTTGTGGTTGTCTTTATTGATGACATACTAATATATCCAAAGAGCAAAGAAGATCATTGTGAGCATTTGGGAGTTATTCTGCAGATTCTGAAAGAGCATCAGTTGTATGCTAAACCGTTAAAGTGTGATTTCTGGCTTTCTGAGATACAATTTCTGGACCATGTCATTTCATCTGAAGGAGTGGCAGTGGACCCGAGTAAGATTGAAGCAGTGTTAGATTGGGAGCGTCCTAAAAATATTACAGAAATCAAGAGTTTTCTTGGTTTGACTGGGTATTACAGGCGTTTTATTGAGGGATTCTCACGGATGGTACTATCTTTGACACGATTAACCCGTAAAGGGAACCCATTTGTGTGGACCCAAGAATGTGACATGATTTTTCAGGAATTAAAAAAAGTTAGCTCGTATTTTTATAAGTTTAAGTCTTCCGCTGTTTCTGTTAAGTATCATATGTATGCTAATTGAACCAGCTCGAGGCTGGGGATGTTACATTTATGGTATCAGAGCAGGGCCTCTCATCCAGTACGGTGTGGTTCGAGGACGAACCAGGCGGAAGCTGGTGGGCATGTAACATCCCGAGCGCTAACGAGGGCAGGGAGTGATCGCCGGTGCAAAGAGGCACGGACAAGGAGCGGCTCCTGACAGGCTTCCAGCGGGGGGTTACATGCATGAATGAATTGAATCGATACCCGAAAGAGAGGGATTCCAAAGGTTGTGCAGGTATAAGACTGCACAGTTTGGGATAGCTTATAAGAATTAATTGGTACTACCTATGCTAACAAGATGCATCTGCTTTTCGGTAGCCCGGATCGGAAGAACTCCACAGTTAAGCGTGCTTGACTTGGAGCAATTCTGGGATGGGTGACCTCCTGGGAAGTTTTCCCGGGAAATGTGCGAGTGAGGAAAAAACACATTGAAAAGTCTCGTGTTAGTATGTGGGGATAGTCATTGATTCTTGAAGCGGTCAGGCGTTACACATATCATAGGCATATTGAAAGTGCATAGACATCTCATATCCTCTCAAAATGCATAACTACAAAATATCCAAAATAGCAACATGCAATTAAAGACAATCTACAGTGGCCTCCTGCCAATAGATGCTCATGCACCATCAGTACTAGAAAAGAGTGAGATATATATACATATATATCTCAGTAAACTAAGGGTCCTTGGAGGATTCCTTCACCCCAAAGTTCACTTCTAGTGTAAAAGCAATAACAAAATAATGCAGGATACTCAGATATAAAATAGTCCTACTGATCAGAGAATCTACCAAGTATAAATTACATATCGTCATGCAACAAGAGCAGTTTTTCCTGTAAGTATTGTATAAAACTCTTTGGGAAAGGTATCAACTGAGACAATAAGAGATGATATCAGCTAATATTTGACCATATTGCCATAAATGAATAAAAATATTTATATTTAAAACTAATTTTAATCGTCATGAATAATTAAATGATTATGATTAACTCTTGTTATATTTTGAGCGAATTAATATATATATATATATATATATATATATAAAAGGTCAGGATCATTTTGCACCAGTGTAAGTTACACTCTTAGGGAGTGTTATGGACCCGTATAATGGGCTCATTAAGTAACAAGCCCAACAAGGGAAAATCCAAGATATGGATTGGTGCTAATAAATGATAGATATCCATCAAGGATACTAATCCTAATGCGACAGCATAGTTATCAGGCCTGGACCCTCACCGTAGGAACCAAAGGCCCATCCACACTACCTACAGGTAACTTCTATAAATACAAAGGTAAACCCTAAAGGTACGTACGCTCTCTCTTACTGTTATGTTGTCACTGTGCGCACACACACACTCCATTGGCTAACGCCGTTATAGTATTCTGTGCACAGTGATCTGCTTGACTCAAGGGTATCTCCTCTATAGATACCTTGGAGAGGGCACTAGATCCAATATTAACGTACTAGCCTATTGGGCTAGACATCTCTATCTCACGGACAGAACATGGGGTGTTTGGTAAGAGATTTATTTTGAGATTGATGGGGAAGTGTAAGTGGGTATCAAGTATTACCATGTTGGGAAGTTTTTCAAAAATTTCCCTAGTAAAATAAGATGCATAGGAAAAGCTAGTTGTGTGAAAAATTTGATGAAAATCACTATTTCAAAATACCACTTTGCATGTTGTATTTTGGGATAAATGGGGAAGTGAAAAGTTGAACTCCAATCTCTTGACAAAAATGACCCTCCGTGATGGCACCAAATTTGACCAAAAAAAATTATAAGGGTTATTTTGGTAATTGTAACTCATTTTCCCATCAACATTTTATCTCAAACCAAACATAGACTATATAATATTTTCCAAATTTTTCCGGTAAATTTTTTTTCAACCAAACAACTTTTTTTACATTTTCCTACCAAACTTACTTTTCAACCATTTCCCTAATAATTACATTTCTCTAGTATTCAAAAATTTTCTCCTCAACCAAACACCCCCTTAATCTTGACCATTGATTCCACTTATACCTAAGTTAGGGCTTTAATTTTTTAGTAATGTGAGCCATTAAATACAAGTGGATCAATGATATATATATAGGGGCAGGATATTCTTACACTTGTGTAAGAGTTAGAAGTCTTACACTCAATCTTAACAATTGATACACTTGTATCTAATGCTCACATTACTAAAAAATTAGAGCCCTTAGATATAAGTGGGATCAACGGACAAGAATGAGAGTGTAACTTACACTGGTGTAAAATGATCCTGACCCTATATACCATTGATCCACTTGTATCTAATGGCTCACATTACTAAAAAAATTAGAGCCCTTAGATATAAGTGGGATCAACGGACAAGATTGAGAGTGTAACTTACACTGGTGTAAAATGATCCTGACCCATATATATATATATATATATATAGGGATTTATATTTTTGCAGCTGATGTACGTGCAACAATCAAATACTTGGCAAATATATACTTGAAAGCATTAAATGCGAGGAATAATAATCATACAAGGATGAAAGCATTAAATGTAGGGAATCATAATCATACAGTTGTCATTTGATGTACGTAAAGCGGCTGCAGAAATGATTTTACCATATATATATATGTGGCAAAAAGATTTCTGCAGCTGCTGTACCTACAGCAAGCAAGGATCCGCGTCCGAATCCTAGGATACGGCAACGGATCCTGAGTTTTTTTTTTTTTTTAAAAAAAAAGCCGTGGGGCCCATTTTTCTGTGTCAGCTGTAGATAACACTATCTACGGCTGCTGCAGAAATGTTAAGCTATATATATATATATATATATATTAAAAGAATTTAAATTGAAAATAAAAAATTTATGCTGTTCTCCGTACCCCGTGCCCAATTAACCTAGATTTAAGGCTAGATTCTGTTCGGACGGAACACAGCATTTTATGTGTCAACACAACAATGGCAACCTTGACTTCCCCTAACAACCAACCAAATAAGCATTCTTCATTTACTACAATCCGTTTCTTTAAGATTATTCTCAGTAAAAGTCTGGAAGATGGAAATCTTGTAAGCATTTTCTTTCTTTCATCTCTTCACACCGTATTTTCTCTTTTCATTCCATTTGGTAATATTAGCTAATGCTTCAAATGTCTCTCTGTAGCTCTCTGCCTTTTTCTTTGTGATTTGTTATTGTGAGAGAGAGGGAGAGAATGCTCATTACAGATTCATACACATACATGGTTTGTTTCCACCTTCGGTTTTCTACATCATTTCATCTTGGGGTTAGTGGGGACTGTAAGTTGATTTATTTAGCTGTGTAATTGGCTCCTTCGTGTAAGTCATTGTTGGATCAGAATGCAGGGTCTTGTATATACCTCCACATGATTCATGTGTGTGTATCAAAAGTGAACTAACTATGCTTAGGGTCTAGGGAAAGGAGAGTGTGTGAGACCTATAGTATGAGTCCATACTAGACAACCTTATCTTGCATTTGTTGATTACATGACTCAAAACATATTGAGCATTGTGAACTGCAACTTGTGAGCTCATTTGGTTGAAATAGTTTATCAAAGAGTTGAACATTTGTGAATGATAGCGAGTATAAGTGTATAACTGATATGGGACAATTGGGCATCATTACACATATCCTTAAATCAAGTTTTCCATTAAGGAACCAAATACATTGAGATTGATTGCTATTTTATCCGAGAGAAGATTCAATCTGGAGAGATTGAAACATATTTGTTAAATCTTGGTTGTCACCCTAACTAACTCATTAGAATCAATCTTAACAGATTGGGTTATCAGCATGTGTTTGAGAATAGGAAAACATAAGTAGAGGAGCAAATAATCATCAGTACATTTTAAATCTGTTATGCTTGAATGTCATGATGTTGCTTACTAACACCAGGTTCGTTGCAGAAGATCCCAAACAATTTCACAAGGAGATATGGTGGTGGTCTGCAAAACCCAATGTTTCTCAAAACCCCAGACGGCATTGAATGGAAAGTATATTGGACTAAACATGATGGTCAAATTTTGTTTGAAAAGGGATGGAAAGAATTTGCTAGTTATTACTCCCTAGATCATGGGCATTTAGTAGTGTTTGAATATGAGAAAAATTCTAGTCATATTGAGGTACACATATTTGACATGAGTGCCCTTGAAATAGACTATCCTTTCCATGACCATACCATTGATGATTCAGTGGAAATTTTGAATGAGCAACCTCCATGTCAGAAGAAAAGACTGAAATCACCAATGTCATCTTGTCCAACAAGTAAGAAATCGAGAACTGGCATAGCTAGAGAAGATGAAAGAAGCCTCAATCCGCAAAATTTTCTCCCGCATGTCCAAACTAAAGGTAGTCAATCTGAAGTAACAAACTCTGAGATGCCAATAATTGCATCTGTCAAGCAAGAGTTGGATGGTATGTATTTCAAGATCAGATCATTTCATTTAGTGGATTCAATTGACTTCTTGAGGTTAAATGCATAACATACCCATGTTATTCTGAGGATATGTTCAAATTTTCAAAGAGGACATCTGTGGTGTAAGTTTATCACTGTGTGCCTCATGTTGAAGACGAAACTTCTACTAAATTGCTAAGCTTTGAATAAAACCACAATGTTAAGATATAAAAATCCTTCTTTTATTCTTGTCATATATTCCTTGGTGTGCATCTGATAAATACATCATATGTAATTATGATTTAGATTTTATTTTTACTTTTATGTTTTATTTTTTTATGATAGATAATTTCTTATCTTGAGGTTGAATCAGATTAAAAAAATCTTTGTTTCTCTATCAAAACCAGAATATACCATCATGATTTGCAGAAAATGCAAGGGGCTATCTGCTAAATGCTGCTGCGTAGTGCATGCTTAAACTAAATGTTTTTGTTGGCATGTCACAGGTGGGAATGCAAGCAAAAGAACTTCACTGTTGATTACTCCCTGCCCCGGGACAACCGGATCTCTAAAAGAAGTTATGAAGTTCACCTCTGAAAATCCCTTTTTCATAATCAATATATGGCCAAGTTATGTGAGGAAAAGCAGAGCAGTAAGTATAAGTTAAGCAGACATTTATATTTGAATAGTGTTGTAAATAATATTGATTATTTAGTTTTTATTTAGTCATTTATTGTTGTATTGGGCCAAGCCCTTTGTTGTATTGGGCCAAGCCCATTAGGTTAAAAGTAGGTCAAATATTCTCTATAAATAGAGAACACTTTGTACACATTATTTACAATTCTATAATATATTAGAATACCCTTTTTCAAGTTGGTATCAGAGCTCTCGATCTGAGGGCTTTGCTTCCGCACATATTATCTTCTTTTTTAACAAAACCCTAATTTCTTTGCCTCTTGCCGCCATCAGCCGCCACCGGAAAATTTTTCCGGGGACCTTTTGGACCAAGGGGACCATTGTTGACCTTATTTTTCCTCTGATCTATCATTCTATGCATTGTTCCTCCGCCACAAACGACCGAAACACCTCCGACCGCCTCCAATCAGATCTGTCTTCACTGTTTGGACCACTTTCCGGCGACTTTTCAACCGCGACCACCCACAGACAGGTGCGCGCTCACTGGACGACCACACCAGAAAAATCTCAGCCGGTGAAGCCCATCCACGCGCTCTCACGCGCCGCCCCTTTCCCGGCGAGTGAATCCCACGCGCAGCTCCTTTCTCCGGCGCGTGGAGGCGCGTACGACCGTGTTTTTGGACCGGACCACCACCATTCTTCTCGTCTTCTTGTCTTCTGTCTGGATCTGTAATTATTTTTCTGATTAGAGGTCATTTGATATTTTGTTTGGTTGATTTTATCGCTGGTTGTTAACTTTTTTTGTTAAAGAATGGCCGAGCATGATAGTTCTTCGATCTTATCTGGTAAGAGCACACGTTCTATATCTCTTCTTGCTTCTTGCACTGATTTTAAAACCTCATGGATTTTGGATTCTGGTGCAACTGATCATATGGCTTGCCGTACTGAGTTGTTTTGTTCTTATCATCCTACTGTTGGTAGTCATACTATATCCGTAGCTGATGGATCCCATAAATCAGTTATTGGTTCTGGTAACATTCAAATTCAACCTTCCTTGTTTCTTAAAAATGTTCTTTATGTTCCTCAGCTTTCTACTAATCTTATCTCCACTCAAAAGCTTACAACTGATTTGAATTGTTCTATCACATTTTTTCCTTCTCATTGTCTTATTCAGGATCTTACCACGAAGAAGACAATTGGAGTTGCTAATGAACAGGATGGGTTGTATCATCTCCTTCCAGACCATGCTAGCAAAAATCAGTTATTAATGACACGTCATCCTTCTACTGCAGAGTCTATGATTTGGCTCCATCACAAGCGTCTGGGGCATCCACCATTTAGTCTTTTGAAGTCTATGTTCCCCTCTCTGTTTCTCAATAAGTCGGTTGAGACCTTTCATTGTGATGTTTGTGAATTTGCAAAACACCATCGAGTGTCATTTCCTTCTAGCACTATTAAAAGCAGGGAACCTTTTTCTCTTACCCATTCTGATGTTTGGGGCCCTTCTAAAGTGCACAGTGTTTCAGGTGCAAGGTGGTTTGTTTCTTTTATTAACGATTGTACTCGGATAACATGGATATACTTGATGAAAGACAAGTCTGAAGTACCAGAGATATTTATTCGGTTTCATCACATGGTTGAGACTCAGTTTGGTAAGGGTATTAAAAGACTCAGATCTGATAATGGTACTGAGTACGTCAATCGACGCCTGTCACAATTCATTTCAGACAGAGGTATGATTCATGAGCTCACATGTGTTGATACCCCTCAACAAAACGGGGTTGCTGAAAGGAAAAATCGTCATCTTCTTGAAGTTGCTAGAGCACTACTTTTTCAGACATCTGTTCCTAGTTCTTATTGGGGAGAAGCAGTATTAGCTGCAACTTTTTTGATCAACCGTTTACCTTCACGGGTCCTTAACATTATCAGTCTTATTCATTCCATGACTTCCTTCTTTCCTTCTGTTCCCATATTGCAGAGCCTTCCACCAAGAGTGTTTGGATGTGTTGCCTTTGTCCATGTTCATAAACAACATCGGAGTAAGTTGGATCCTAGGGCTCTTAAGTGTGTCTTCCTTGGTTATAACCCTTATAAAAAGGGTACAAGTGTTATCATCCACCAAGTCGGAAATTTTTTGTTTCTATGGATGTCACCTTTCAAGAATCTGAATCTTATTTCCTGGGTCCTCATCGTCAGGGGGAGAATAGTTCTTCAGAAGACTCGTCCCCTTCCTTCTTTGAGTCTGGATCAATCTTCTCTCTTCCTAGTGTGTCTGCTCCTGGTGTGTCAGAACCTTCAAATACACCTGAGATACAACCCATACTGTCTCACCAGCAACCTCAATCGTCTGAACCACTGGTAAGTCCTGAATCTCCTATTTCTTCTGAGTCTCCTGAATCTCCTGTTTCTGATTCTAATATTATTTCCTCTCATGATTTGTCTATTTCTTCTGATATCTCTAATGACTTACCCATTGCTTCTACTTCTGATGACTTACCTATTGCTCTTAGAAAAGGAAAAAGATCTTGTCACAAGAAAACTTGTTCCTCCTGTCCCTCTTGCACTCAATACCCTATCTCCCACTTTGTTTCCTCTGCTAATCTTTCTGTGCAGCACAAAATCTTTGTTTCAGCACTAGATTCTATTACAATCCCAAAATCAGTACATGAAGCCTTGAAAGATAGGAATTGGGCTCAAGCCATGCAAGAGGAGATGAATGCTTTGGAGAAAAATAAAACATGGGAGGTTATTGATAGACCCAACGGAAAGAAAGCAGTAGGGTGCAGATGGGTTTATGCCCTGAAATATAATTCTGATGGCACTCTTGAGAGATATAAGGCTCGATTAGTGGCCAAAGGTTACACTCAAACCTATGGCATTGATTATGAAGAAACCTTTGCTCCAGTTGCAAAGATGAATACAGTGAGAATCTTGTTATCCCTTGCTGTCCATTACAATTGGGATATAAATCAATTTGATGTGAAAAATGCTTTCCTCAATGGTGAGTTAGAAGAAGAAGTCTACATGGAAATCCCGCCTGGTTTTGATTCTGTGAAGGGGGAAAATAAAGTTTGTAGATTAAAAAAGGCCTTGTATGGATTGAAGCAGTCACCTCGTGCTTGGTTTGGAAGATTTACTAAGGTTATGATGACCTTAGGATACAGACAGAGCCAAGGAGATCACACTCTTTTCTTCAAGCACTCCCAAAATGGGAAGCTTACTGTGCTCCTTGTATATGTTGATGATATTATTATCACAGGTGATGATTTTGTGGAGAGACAGATTCTGCAAACACGGCTTGCCTCTGAGTTTGAAATCAAAGACCTTGGGAAACTGAGATATTTCCTAGGGATAGAAGTAGCTCATTCAAGCAAAGGAATTTTTATCAGCCAGAGGAAATATGTTCTTGATCTTCTCAAAGAAGCAGGAAAGCTCGGGTGTAACCCCTCTAATACTCCTATTGAGCAGAATCACAAGATGGGCTATGAAGAAGAGAGTCTTCCAGTTGATAAAGGACAATATCAACGGCTAGTTGGGAAATTGATATATCTGGCCCATACTAGACCAGACCTAGCTTATGCTGTTAGTGTTGTCAGTCAGTTTATGCACGATCCAAAGGAAAAACACATGCAGGCAGTAGAGAGAATTCTTCAGTATCTTAAAGGTACTCCTGGTAAAGGATTGTTATTCCGACGTGATGGAAATCTATCTTTAGAAGTCTACACAGATGCTGATTATGCTGGATCCGTCACTGACCGTCGTTCTACCACTGGTTATTGCATGTTTCTTTGCGGTAACTTGGTGACATGGAGAAGTAAGAAACAAGATGTGGTTGCCAGATCAAGTGCAGAAGCTGAATTTCGAGCTATGGCTCAAGGCATTTGTGAGTTACTGTGGCTGAAAATTGTACTTGATGATCTCAAAATAAAATGTGAGGGACCTATGAAGCTGCTATGTGATAATAAGTCCGCTATTTGTATAGCTCATAATCCAGTTCAACATGATCGGACTAAACATATTGAGGTCGACCGCCATTTCATCAAAGAGAAACTTGATAGCGGGTTGATTACCACTCCATACATTCCCACTGGGCGTCAATTAGCTGATCTATTAACAAAGGGGCTTCCTTCAGACAGATTTCAAGAACTTACTAGCAAGCTGGGAATGATAAATATCTATTCCTCAGCTTGAGGGGGAGTGTTGTAAATAATATTGATTATTTAGTTTTTATTTAGTCATTTATTGTTGTATTGGGCCAAGCCCTTTGTTGTATTGGGCCAAGCCCATTAGGTTAAAAGTAGGTCAAATATTCTCTATAAATAGAGAACCCTTTGTACACATTATTTACAATTCTATAATATATTAGAATACCCTTTTTCAAGTAATAGGAATTGTTATATCATGCCAGCTTGCTGGTATTATTGTACTTTCAGAAATTTAGACTCTATTCTGACTATGATGAAAATGTAACACAATGCAGAGTATACCAAGTGCCTTCGCCAGGAAGTATGTACAGAAGAACAAGCAGAATGTGATGATACAGTTTGGGAAGAAGTTGTGGCCTGTAAGGTTGCTCTATTATCCAATAAATTCTGTTGTCAATTTTGCCGCTGGTTGGAACCTTTTTGCTAAAGAAAGCAAATTGCAAGTTGGAGATATTTGTATCTTTGAACTCATTAATAGAGAAGAGTATGTATTTGATGTTCATATTTTCAGAGGCCACACATAGGCAATCCAGTGGGAGCTCTTAAACTGAGTAATTTTGCAAAAGGTGTATTATCCCTCTTGCTAAAATCGACTTGTATTGTTGTTAATCCTTTAATATATGAACCAAAAATATATATGCTGGGATTCACAGTTTTAGTCCAATTTCGTGTTTTACCACTTCATGTTGTAGTTAGGGGTGTCAATATAGGTTATGACACGTGGATCGACCCGCGACACGACACGAAAATTCGTGTTCAGGTTGACTCGCAAAAAAATTCGTGTCGTGTTCGTGTAGGGAAAAATGACACATAAAAAATTTGTGTCGTGTTCGTATTGATGTATTCGTGTTCGTGTTGACTCATTTTTTTTTAATTTTTTTAATTTTATTTTATTATTATTATTTTTTAAATTTTTTTTAATTCGACCCATTTTTTTAAATTTATTTTTGTCAATTACTGTTTTGACCCTCATTTTGCGTGTTATTCGTGTCGTGTCGTATCAACTCGCAAAAAATTCGTGTCGTGTCAGTGTTGAAGATTTTGACACGAATAAAAATTTGTGTCGTGTTAGTGTTGATGTATTCGTGTCGTGTAAAATTCGTGTCGTATCGAATTCGTGTCGTGTCAACCCATTTTGACACCCCTAGTTGTAGTTTTGTCTACTCACTACAAGAAAAATACAATATAGCCTAGGACAGTTTTCCGTTACACATACAAAAGCCGCACATGTAGTCTATCCATACATACCATTGTATGTGTAGAGTTTATGTTCTTGAAATCCGGTACAATTTATGAGATCTGAAATTTTATATTCATCCATGTAATCATTAAATTAACTGAATGGCATGCATAATAGCTAATTTTTATGAATGATATTCAGTATGATTAGATATTTCTGAGGTTTTTTTTTTTATACTTGTCTTGTTTGACTGCATATGTGAACTTGGTAATGCTTGAGAGGCTCCTTGAGCACCATACTTTAGTAATTGTAAAGAGCTATTTTAATCCAAAATTTTAAAGTGTAAGGGAAGATTTTTTTTAATGATTTATATTATTCTTTTATTAATATATTCATTTATTATATCTTTTATTTACCATTAGGATTATAAATAATCTTGTCCAATTATATCAGATCAACGCTATTTTATTGAGTTAAATTTCAATTATTTATTAAATTAGCATCTGTATACATTTACTAGCAATAATTTTGTAGCTGATACCAAGGGTGCGCATGACAACCTCTCCGGAATCAATTTTATTTTTTTTTAATTTCTGTTTCCGTGAATAGAAATGGATAGAAAACTCATTTGGTAAAATTGGTTTATTTTTTTGTTCCCGGGATGAACCGGATTAATTTTTGTGCTGGGAAACAGAAAAAAGAATCAAATTTTTTTTTTTGTTCCTGGACATAAAATGAAAAACGCTTATATCTCTTAATCATTTTCCATCTCTACCATCATCACCACCACCACCACCATCATCCCAACACGACCACTGCCACCGTCGTCGTCGTCGTCGTCGCCGTCGTACCACTAGTGCTGTCGTGACCATCCCCACCACCACGATGCCACCGCCATCATCACCACCACCTCTACCCATCACTACCACCATGCCACCATCACCACTACCACCGCTGCAACCACTACCACCACCATCACCACAACCGCCATCAATGCAACCATCGCCATCACCACGCCACTGCCACCACCACCATCGCCACTACTACTATAACACCTCACATTTTTAAGTTTAAATATTCATAAGTTAAATGAGAATTAAACGGAATGATTAGTGAAAATCCTGAAAAGAAGGTCGAAATACGTAAAACGGTAAATTGACAAATTGTTGTTGACCTTGTTACCAATTAATTTTACTTAGTATAAACTAAAGTATGTAGAAGAAAAATATAAACTAAATGGTATATTTTTGGTCTCCCAAGTAGGTGATTCATTGCATTGTCCTTAGTGAGCTAACAAATCAACAAATGGTGTATTTGGTACCCAAGTAGGTGATGAATCCCACGCTAGCCTTGTTTCATTAGATGATGAGTGGATTAAATAATCAAAGAAACTAAGTACAAGCGGTGGAAACAATAAGGCATCAAGTGGCAATCGGTGGATCAAAAGCAAATGGAAAAGGGAATTGAATAAATTATAGAAATTAAAGAAATTGAGAAGCAAAGTCGGCAACCCTTTGTCCCTTCAAGCGGTGACCAAAAGAAGAATAAAAAAGAAAGAAAATCTTAAGTGAAATGAAAACAATAAGGTCGACAAGTTTGGTGTCCTTCCAAGCGGTGGAAATTAATCAACAAAGGTGCAACCTTGTGTCTAGCGTGGGACCAAAGAGAAAGAAGTAAAAAGGTGAAATCCTTGTCATGCTGAAACCAAGTCGGCTTCTTGTGCCTTCCAAGTGGTAACCAAAAGAAAAGAATTCTGATTTGCTTTAAACAATCAAGTCGGTTCTTCCTTGTCCAAAACCTCAAGTCGGTTTCTTCTCCCTATCCAAACACATGACCGCCCCTTGTTTTCTTTCTTTCCTTGCATACGGCCAAGGAAAAATCTGGTGAGAAGCAAGTCAAATAAACAACTTAGACCAGCCTTGTTAGTTAGTCGGTTGCCTCCTTTTCTTTGTGACATCAAGCAGCTGAAAGTTTGCTTCTAAATCGTACAACCAAGGAGACCTCAAGCAGCTCAATCCTTTCTTCTAAAACCGTAGCAGCCCAAGGGAGTTAAGAGGAGCTAGTGATTATTTTCTTGTCCCTAAAATGCTTAAAACTTTGAGGAAAAGAATCCTTGTGTTCTTGTGGTCATAACCTTGTATTTTCCTCTTCTTGATAAGTGGTAAAAGATGAGTTTCCAATCATATATCATGCGCACCAAGGGGCTGACTTTGGAAGGAGTTTCATTTAAATATGTTATGGCTTGATGGTTCATGAATCCCTTGGATCGAAGTGCAAAACATGGTCATATTTGAAAGAAAATCATGGACTTTGAACTTGGCCAATTCGGCCAAGAGGAGAAAATTGCGTAAACAGTATGTTAATAAAATTCTAGGTGGAAGTGGATGTTGGTTTGTATAAGTTAAGAAGATGTTTTGACGTTTTTTTGTATTATTACAGAATTACCGTGTATTGACGATTCATACATGGTTGTTGTAGGTTGCCGTACGTTGATTTGAACCCTGAACCGTGAGCTCGGTGGATTGCCCTTGGTCCTGGATTAAGTGGGGTCGAGGTGAGTAATTGGAACCATACTTGTAGAATTAGTAACTTGCATGTGTTCATATGAACAGTAATTAATTGAGAATGTCCTCTGTGTAGGCATTTTTGTTGTATAGAGAGCTCGAGAAATACTGCTGTGGAGCTAAGTGAAGAGGCTTATTGAGTTAACCTCTTGGTATTGGGGTTTGTTCCCCTTGTGTGTTCCACCATGCCGTTGAGGGTGATGGTAGGAAATGTATATGAGTAATGTAGAATAACATGATCATGCATTTAGTATGTATGTTGGTACATAGGTAACGAGTCTCTGGCCAGCAGACAGTTTTGCCTTCGGGTGTTTCAGACTTCCACTGGATAGGTCTCCGAGAGGGAGTTCCAGTTGACCTAGGGTCGTGGTGTGTGATCCGAATAGGAGCACACTAGGTAGTCTCGGGTGTAGGCGGATGGGAGGGGTACCTTGGTTGATGTTCTAGGAACACGCCTTGGATGAGACCCATAGGCTTATATGCCGAGGACGTTCCGTGGTGTTGGTAGCTACCATTCCATCTTCGTCGTATTTTGTATCCTATGATCCCCATTTTCACTAAATCCCTTGTTGTATCCTGTTTTTAAGAAGTTATTTTATATTATTTAGATGTATCGAAGTGAGCCATTGGGTGGAGTATTCTCCAGAACCTCTGGGTTACTGAGATATATTCGTATATCTCATCCCGTCTTGAGGGCTTTATTTCAGGAGGTAGTAGTGGTGCAGGAGCAGCGGGCAAGAAGCCTGCATGATGATTAGTATAACACCTCGTATTTCTAAATATATATTTATAGATGATAATGTCGCTTAAAAGGGTAGGATTAGTGAAAATCCTGAGATTAGGGTCAAATATATAAGAAGGGCAAAATGGTAATTTACCAAACACGTATCCCTAGGCATGAAAAATCGAGTAGAAGGTCTCAAATGGTAAAAATAAGGCCGGAAATGGATTCAGAACGAAAAATCGAGTGGATAGGCAAGTTTCTGAAATTTTGATGAATAGTGATTTTCCGGTATAAAATACTGCGGTATAATGGTACGATAGGCGTGAAATTTTGATCAGTATTTTTAGGAAACAAAAATATGGCACGAACGGGAAAAATACGTAGTTTATGAAATTGTGGTTTAAATTAGATGTTTCATTAAAGTTAAATCGCGTGTGGGACCCGCGGAACCAAAACCCACTTAAGTTTCCCTCATTTTCCCTCAACCTCACGAGCTCTGTCTCTCCTTTCCCTTTCTTTTCCAGCGTGAAACAACCCCTCCCACCATTGATGAGCCTTCATCCTTTTGCTCTCCAAAACCACCACTTCTTGGCCAAATCCTTTGATTTTGGTGTTGAAATCAATTGGAAAACCCATTCTAAAGCCATTGGTGATACCCCCTAGCCTTGAAATCGCTCCTTTGGTGAGTATTTAGCCTAGTTCAGTTTTGAAAGATTGGAAAAAAGTGATGTTCATGGACGTATTGGACCTCTAGATGCTTGGAGAAGCCTTGGTGGAGAGTCTAGCATTGATTGTGAGTGTATTTACATGGTTTTTATGATTGATTTCATAGATCAAATTTATGAACCCTATGCTTGTAATTGTTGATTTATAATGATTGGAAGCTCAAATAGAAAAATTGCATTAGACGATAATGTCTTAGAATGACATGATTGAGCTAGAAATGCTATGAAAATTCTAAGTGAAAATGATGATTTAACTTAGGAAGAAAATCAAGTGTCATGAGATTTAGAAATTTAGTTGTGTGAAAATGGCATGATTGTTTATTGTATAGGT